ATTGTATTAAAGCAGACAAGAATTCTTAAAGACTAAATGGCATTTCCAAAGTTGATGACAACTGAACTGTAATGATGATGGACTTATATTGATCTTAACAACTCTTCTTCTTGTCACCTCATATCCGGTCAATCTTATATCAACAAAATGTGAGATTGGATCACTGCTAAACGAGGTAGGCACAAAATCCCAAGCTTTAGTGTTATGGATGAGTGTCTATGCTATGAAAGGAAGAAAAAAAAACAAAAAACATTCCAGCCAATATTTGTGGGAAAGGAGTCCTGATTGTAATTGAGAAGAAAACACTTAGTGAACTTTTCTTTTCACATTTTCTATCGTGGGGAAAAGGGTATCCTTCTCCCAACAAAAATTTTTCCCACATGAAAATTCAATGCATGCTCCAAAAGTAATATTAAGATATGCGATATAAATACCTATTCCAAAAATTGAAAGTTCAAGGTTTGGAAAATATTTGAAAATTTTAGGTTAGAGCTATTAGATTTTAAAGGCAAAAACCATCTTGCTGTCTATTTTTTTTTATATATGGATCTGAATGTTTGGTCATATCCAAGCACCATCTAAATTTCCTTGAAAACTTATCAGTGCTCCCTATGTATAATTCTAAATGTGCACTGGAGCAACTTCATCATAAACAACAAAGCCGGAAGCACAACTGTTGAAGTTATGCTGCAAAACACTCATTTTCTAATGGACGGAGGCCAAGTAGCAGAAATTGAAGGTGATAGTCTTCCAAAGGCTTTTTTGTTTGGCAAACTGGTCTCCGGAAGGCTGATCAGAGAAAACAAAAAAAATAGATGGGTATACTTTAGAAAAAAAAACAGAGTTGTGTCTTATGGAAATGAGCATTGCCAACAGAAAACAGAAACTGTTGACAAGGAGATATGGTGATACAAGATCTACCTGACATTCAAACCTAACTCCAGAGAACAGAAAGCTCTGTAAAAGTGGAGTGTGTTTGTTGTTTTTTGTTTTTTTTAAGCGTTTCACCCCAAGCAAGGTGGGAAGCCACTAGGATGCAAGGGGTTACAGAAAATTTGGAGCAAGATCAGATTGGAGTGATAGAAGAAAGGATGAGGAGAAGGGTAGTTCTTTCCACTTGCCACAGCTTACAACTTCTATGGGAAAAAACTGCTTCTCTCATGCCTTGCTGGCTATCAGAGAACCTGCAAGTGATATGGGAAGCACCTCTTTCTAACTCTTTTTCAATTCTGAACCGGAATAATAACACTCTTCATAAAAAAAAAAAGAATTGAATAGTTTCTCTAGGGCTACATGCACTGTAGCTTTTCACTCTCTAACGGGCAATCTGTGATGATTTTCCTATTTTAGGGTTATTTTGTGCTCTTAGTTCTAGAACTAATCCCATACGTATTTATTCAAGTTTGTCTTCAATTTTAGCCAATCAAATTTTTCTTTTAAGGAAAATATAAAAACAATTACTGGTGATGTTGTAGTTTACTCTCCTGTTAAGACTCCATAATTATCACTGTTACCAAAATGTTCACTTTTAATTAGAATCATATACACTTTACACATGTAAACTACAGTTATATTCCTGATAATTCTCCCTCTCTTATCCTCAAAGAGATTTTATCAACCCTCACTTTAACTGGAAGGAAAGTTCTTTTTCTTTCCAAAATGGAAACTGTTGAATGGTTGATTACTAAACTAGCTCCACTTCGTCTTTTGTGAAGAGGTTGGTTAGCAACTCAAGGAGTCCATAGCCAATTACCTAAAGTTAGTGTCTCAATAAAAACACCATGGAGAAGGCAACAGGAAACCACTCCACTATCAATCTCATTATTCATGACAATAAACAACGTAAATATTAGAGATAATAGTGTGAAGGTGGGTAATATACACTGGAGATAAGTCCTCACCTCATAAGGGAAGACGTGCCATGACTGTCATCCAGCAAAAAAAAAAAATGCACTAAATACAATTACTGCAAATAAACTGAAGCAGGAGTTAAATACATTCTACTCACAATTTTGTATTCAAAGCCATGCTGGTTGGTCAAATGTCTCAGCTTTTGATAAGTTGGCATTGATTAAATTGGAATTATTTTTTAAAGTTGATTTAAAAATTTAACATATATATTTATTTAACATATTTCAGTTAGATATATTTGTTAATAAATTCAGTTTGTTTTACCCCTGATGAATAGAGTAATTTCTATTAAATTTTTATTTGAATTTTCTATTAATGCTCTGTTTCTTGATATTAAGCACTTACATAGATTCTTTACCCTAAAAGCCTTATTCACTGATCAACACTTTTTTTCTTTTTTTTTTTTTTTAAGAGCAATTTTTTTAAAGCAATTTTTATTATTAATCTATCTATCTATCTAGTGTTGATCGGCAACTATTTTTCATTTATGCAGATTTTGTTGAAACCAGTAAAAAGTTCTTTGGTCATTTCTTATTTAATTTATTGAATCTTCAGTTCGAACCATTTTTCTGATTTCCATGGAGAATTTGAACAGCAATTATCCAGTGTATTCTGAGCACATCCAGAAACCATTATCAAAAAGTTTTATTTTTCTGTTTATAGATTTGTGTCTGGATACATTGTGTTTTCTTTGAAAGTTTTTGAGGGCAGCATCTTCATATAGTTTTTTTTTTTTTTTTTTTTTTTTTTTGTGGATTGCATCTTCATGCTTCGGTTTTTGTTATCATGAATTTATTTTTTATTATTGTTTGGTAAATATAAATAGTATGATTGTTTTTAAATTAATTTAAATTTTATTGTTTGCTATTTATGCTTAAGGCTTCTGATATTTTGTAGCCATTTTTTTTTTTTTAAATTTATGTGGTACAGTATTGCATATAATTAACCAACACAACTATAAATCCAACAAATCCTTTATCTAACAAAAATATGATAGCAAATAAACTGTGAAAAACAACCTACAAATACTAGGACTTGTGGACAGAAAAAACAAATGACCCAACATAGAAAAATCATTCAAATTATAGACCGACTAAATATTATATTTTTTAAAAAAGTTACTTAGAAAATACCAACATGACACCTACCGTCACATAATGACATAACCCTTGAAATATACCTAAGAAAAAGACAGCTTATACACATTGACACCATCTTATGAATAGAAGAATAAAATTCTTTTGTAATAGCTAATGAATACGGAAAATGCTTAGAAGACATTGAATATAAATTGTTTAAATTCTCCATAGAAATCACAAGATGATCCAAATCACAAAAAAAAAAAAAATGGCCATGAAAATTTTGGATTTCTGATGAATCATAATTTTTAAGTTAATGATTGAATAAACTCCTTGTGAGTTCTACAATGATAAAATATCCATAGAAATTACCCTATTGTTAAATATTTGAGTTTAACAACTCTAAATATTTCAATGCAGGTCATTATTTGAAAATGTCAAGTTTTTCCATTTCACAGAAGCAGATGTTAAACACATGAGAGCATTATCGCCTCCTCTATCATCTTTCTTTTTCTCACAGCATCTTTGATATGTCTTTTTTTGACTTTCCTTGCAATCCAAACAGAATAGTCCATTATGAATTCATTATTATTATTATGGCAGGGCATAAAACATACAGGCTAACTAAGAAACAAGCAAAATTATAATATATTTTAATAAACAACTTTCATTGGTCTTTAACCAAACATTATATATATATATATATATATATATATATATATATATGCTCAGACACGTCTAGTGATAAGACTAGAAAAATGCTGTCCTCTATATTCCTCACCATTTTTTGTCTTACTGTACAGGCTTTTTCAGTTTTGGTTGTCTTTTTTTTTTTTTTTCATATACTAAAGTTCACCAAATACAAGGCTCGAGAGCCACGCTAGGGAGGGTTAATGAATGAAGTATATGATATGAATATAAGCAAAGGTGGTAGGAAGTGAAGATTATGAGGACAATGGGGATAGATAGCAATTGACCCTTAAAGAGATTAAGATTTTCATGTTCAGAGAAGCATCTATACAGGAGTCTGTTTCAGAAAGAGGCAGTTATTGTGAAAAACTGTCTGAGTGAAACTTCTTCCTTACAAATGGAATAGAGGATGCAAGGGTGATTTGACTACATGGACATATGTCCTATCTGTAAAAATCGGAATAGCTGAACTGATCAAACTAAAAAATGTAGCTCATCTGAACATTTGCCATGAAAATAGCTGCAGTCGAGTAAGGGGCTTGCAGTATTGTGTCTGTGGGAAATAAGCCTTCCCCTACAAATGATTTTGAATTCTTTGAAAGCTGGAAAGTGAGGGTTTGAGCAGCTCCAGCCGAGATATGGCAGCAATGTCCAATGTTTGGTCTAATTCATCTTTTTTAAAGATGAAGCATAGGAGAGGGTGTCAGGTAATTTCTGGAGCAATACAATGAGCCAACCATTTTTCCAACATCTTTAGCAAAGGTGCGTATTACTCAAAGTCTTGATGGAATAAATTTCCTTTTATAGTTTTTTTCAAAAAATAAAAATAACATCTCTTCCAAAGTTATTTTATTGTAAATGTTCCATTTGTAATTGGTTTGAAAGAAATAATATTTAAAATGTTCACTGAATTTTGTGTGTTTATCGTTATGCGTAAGCTGATGTCTGATAATTATGACCTCAAGGTTGACACTTGAATTCTGTTCTGAAATCCACCTGCCATATCTTAGCAAATTTCTTCAGTGTTTAACTTTGAGTCATTGATTTTTCAACCAGTCTATAGTTACTTTAATTTCTGACACAGAGAAATAACTTGCTCCCTTTGATGAACAGGGCCTCTAACTTCAAACAAAAAGCAGACTTTGACATCTGGGATTAATTTGAAAGAAAAGATTTTTATGTGCTATAAAAATTTCTGTGATGTACGTTGATTAAAATTGATGGACAATTTTTAAGTATGAAAAGTTTTTTTTTTTCTAACTGTTGTTTACAGGCAAATGATAATATTGCAATGACTTCCTGAGTTGGGAATTTCACTGTTCACAGTGAACTGAGATCCTCGTTGTGTTGAATGTTTAGCCAAAGATATCCATGTGCATTTGCTCTGGATTCTTTGTCCTTGTTAACAATATTGTAACGGACAATATTTGCTTCAGACTGATAATGACTCCAATTTGAAGCAGCCATTGGAACTGTGACCAACCCCAGAAATTCATCCCGGATGATATTCTGGTCCCATACCTAAAAAATAAAAAAAATATCAGAGATAAATAGACAAGAAAAATAGAGATAAAGAAGCCGAGAGACAAAAACAGTAGAAAGAGAAGTATAGATGTATAGATAAATATAACATCTGACATTCAGCTAAATTTAATGACTTTTTTTTTTTTCTTTATTAATCTGATTTGAGAAAATTCCACACTGATTTTTTTACAGTTTAAGTATTGAATATCAGATTTGTCTCCATATTTATCACAACGTTTCGGCCTTCTTCAGTTGGTTGGAAGGTCAAACTGAACCCTTTATTTTGCTCACTGGGGTAGACCGTTCTAGTTCCATGGGCCATGTTTCAATGGATTTCAGTTATCTCCTGTTAATTCCCCTCTCCAAATTCTCCACTGCCTTAACTGGGTATTGAATTCACAATATTTGGGTCCTGTCACTAGATCTAACCAACGCCTTTATCCACTGTGTCATGTGTCCTTGAGGACATCTGTGTATGAATTTTTGGGTATTATAAACCTAATGTCATCAGCAACTACTTTTTTTTACCAGTGCTCATATTGCAATTTTTGCTGTTATTATTGCATCTTTTTACCAGAGCTCATATTGCAAGGACACATGGCACAGCAGATAAAGGTGTTCGTTAGATCCAGTGACAGAACCCAAAGAGTGTGAATTCAATGCCTGGTTAAGGCAGTGGAGAACTTGGAGAGGGGAATTAACAGGAGATAACTGATAGCTGACATCTATTAGACATGGCATGTGGAACTAGAACAGTCTCCCCCAGTGAGCAAAATAAAGGGTTCAGTTCGACATTCCAACTACCTGAAGAAGTTCGAAGTGTACAACGGGCGAAACATTGTGATAAATATGACGACAAAGATGAGGCCAATAGTCTGAATAATGTAAATATTGTACATAATATCTCAGCTCAGAAATATAGACTGATGGTTGGAATTTACATAGTCTATTTTCAAACTGCAAAACTGTTGTAAGAAAAAGATTAAGTCCTTTCTCCTGTTGATGGGATTTTCCTTCCTAGCCTTTTGTTTAATGTAATGTGGAATGCTAACATCTTTATTATATCATTATTTTTACTTCTAGTTACATGTGCAACACATTTTTGTTAATGTTGCTGTTGGGAGTCTTCAAGAATCATTAATGGATCTGTGGATATTAGTTACTAGGTTTGGTTTAATCAAGTTTTAGTTTGATTTGTTTGCACCTGAAAATGATGCAAACATACTATCAATGGTTTGATAGATGAATTATCCATTATTCTAATGCAAATACCTTGGATCTGTGAATAATAAAGTGACTTTTGATGGTAGAATTTATGTATTTAGAAAAAAAAAAACTATACCAAATCATGTCGATGTTTTCCTAAAAAGACATTTTATCCACTTTGCAGCTTCTTTTCCCCAGGTACAATATTGCAAGTCTATCTCTTTCGTTATTTCTATGGCAAATGTTGAGATGAGCACCATTCTATAGTTTAGCCAAATCAAACCTCTATAGTTCGGACACACAATAATATTTCCACAAGTACAACTCATCCTCATTTTCTCAATGTTCCAGATGTAACATTTTTTTACAAGAACTATTTTGTGAAACAGACTGAAATGTGGGTGCTTTCCTGAACATGACAATCTTAGTCTCTTCAAATCATGTGCTATCCATTCAGTCAGTTTTATGCCATACGCAACATATGCTTAAGTGATCATGTATTGTCTGATACATGACTAACGAGACAGATTTTTTTCCTGCAGTAGGTTGCCATTTCTTTCTGTAGTAGGTCAGTCTGTCCTGATATTTTACCCATAGGTGTAGGGAGAAGAAGAGGATTCATACCTTTCCCAAGGGTATTAGTACGTAAGTGAATATAATGGATTCGACTGGAATTCGAACTAGTCTCTCTGATTCTTCAATCAATGTCATTCATTATTTATCCTCTTTATTTACCTCATCATCTTCACTTCTGATGACTTGCATTTATTCATATCATATACCTCATTCATCATAAACCTTTTTTATGGAAACTCTATCTTGATTGGCTCTTGAACCTTGTTTTTAGTGATTTTTAGTATTTAAAAAAATCACTCAGCTTATATGAATAGGCTAATAGTGTGGGGTGCACAGAACTGATGTCTCTATTAAATAAAAAAAGATTCAATACTTTTATGAAATTATCGCTAGACAATTTCAAGTTGAAATGGTCAGTACACATTGTCCAATTTTACAAGAATGTTGAATTAAAATAGTATCAATTCACCAGGCAAATTACAAAAGTCAATATGTTTTGGCTCCCCAGTACCCAAATGAAATCTGGTAACAAGGAAATATGTATAGGGAAATTGATAATAAAAATTGCTCAGTTCCCGACAATACTTTCCTCTTGGGATGATTCAAGCATCAAGAAGTGACATAGAATTTTTCTCCAATTGGTGTGGAAGCCCCCAATACCTGCTCACTAATCATTTCTTCAAGACAAAATATTCAACCTCTACTAATCTTATACTCTGTCTGAATTTCTAGGATAAACAGTTACATGTGGACTATTCTTCTCTTTGTTGTTGTTGTCACAATGTTTTTCTGTTGTGTCTTCCACCCTTTTCAGGAGATTGTCAATCTAGTTAATTTTCAGAGAATTCCAAATGGAACCATTTCTTTCATCTATCAGCTAGATTGTTTCCATTCCACTGTCTATATCTGGGGATGAGGGTACTTAGACATGGTCTAAAGCTTGTTTTGCTATATCAATTATGACTGAATAGTGAGTTTGATCCTCACATGGTACCCCATACTTCTAGCTTTGCGCCACATCTAAGATACACTTACAAAATCACGACTGCCTATGTCAAGGGATATCTCTGAACTGGGTGAGCAATAAATGAGCCGTACTAAATAAGAACAAGACAAGATATCCCTGGACATGGGCAGCCAATTGAGATCAATCTACCAATATAGTTTAAATAAAGGGTTCAGTTCAAAATTCCCTAAAGGTTACCTGGAGCAATGAGCACCTGATGAAGTCCAGAGGACGCAATTGCTGAAATGTTGCCATAACGAAGATAGGGACACGCTGCATTTAAATAATGTAACTCAACAGAGTTAAATATTAAATAGTAAGAAAGACTGCACTACAGTAGTCACAGCCTGAGCATCTTAACTAAGCATTGGTTGAGAGTTGTTTTGTCTTTGTTTTGTTCCAGTTTGACAATTTGTTAGAATTCAGAAGGTGACTTTAAATGGAAGTGGGAAGCATGTTCAAATCCCAGCTGAAATACAGTGCTGTTCGATAAAAGTGACTCACCTGATTTTTTTTACTAAAAATATTTTTTGTCTATTGTTTTTGGGGTTAAAATAATTTTTAATCTTACTAATAAAAAAACCCCTTCCCGACCACCTAGGAAAAAAGTTTATTCACCCTAATTATCTATTGATAATTATAAATTTGGATATAAATGAGATTCAGGAAAAAAACTGCAAAAAAAGTGACTCAGATATCGCATTCTAAGGATTAAACTGGTAAATTTAAAGAGCTTTTGACAAAATATTGAAAACTATTTTACAATACACTCAGAATAATATTCTAGAGAATTCTAGAAGAGATTAAATTAAATGTAGAGTATTCCAGAAAGCCTCATACAGTATAAAAACAGCTTGAAATAGCCACTAAGAACCACTTAAGGTATCTATTATTGCCCTCTCAAAAACAGGCATGTCTACGAGAGAAATTGCAGAAATTGCTATAACCTCGTAATCAACTGTCTCGAGTGCTTAGGGCCATAATGATGCCACTCCTGCTCCAAGGAAAGAAACAAGGGAACAAAAGAAAAAGATTGATGAGAGAAGTTGCGAGGAATAGGACTATAACTAGCCAAGAAATTGCAGCCAGTCTAACCGTAGAGCAAGGTGTTAGTCTTGCCTCTTCAACAGTCCGTCGGTGGCTGTTAGAAAAAGGCTATAAATCTTGTACGCGAAGGTATAGGCTGCTAATAAGCAAAGCCAAGAGACTTGAATGGGCTCACTATTACAAAATTTCACCGCAGAAGACTGGATGAAACGAAAGTTGAGCTAAATTCAAAGGATAAGCGATCTAAAATCCGAAGAAGAAGCTTTGAAAGCACTGACAAGCATCCGTTCAGTATAATGTTCTGGGGATGCTATTCTTTTCATGGAACTGGTTTCTTAAAACCTATTGAAAAGACCCTCAGGAGCGAGCAGTACAAGAGAATTTTAGAGTCTTTTCTGCTGAAAGGGTGCAAATCGACCCCCACTGAGCTAATTTTTTTTATGCAGGATAATGCTCCCTGTCACAAATCAAATTTGATGAAGGAATACTTTGATGAGAAGCAGGTGAGTGTTATGACATGGTCACCCCAATCTCCTGACCTCAACCCCATAGAAAAAAGTACAGGCTCTCGAGAAAGCTGTTGAGCAACAAAGAGGATTTGATTGTGAATTTCATATCCGAATGGAATTCAATGCTTGGAGATGAGATTTGCCAGAACCTAATCAAGTAAATACGAAAAAGGGTTGAAAAGGTTATTCACAATAAAGGAGGACCCATAGATTATTAAATATTTCGAACTATATTACCTATTATAAATAAATTATACCTCTATTATTCTTTATTTAAAGCTGTTCGGTTATGTTTCTATTGATTAATAGTTGCAGGAAATAAGTAAGTCACTTTTCTTTGCACAGAGTTTTTCCCTAAATTTCATTTATATCCAAAATCATAATTATCAATTAGAATACCTTAGGGTGAGTAAGCTTTTTTTACTAGGTGGTCGAGAAAGGGTTTTATATTAGTAAGATTAAAAATTAGTTTGACTCCAAAAACAATAGGCGAAAAAACTTTTAAGTAAAAAAAATCAGTTTTATCGAACATCACTTTAATTTGGATCTACTTTGTAGAAATTCATAAATGTCTTTAAGACTTGAGAATCCAGCTCTCCTCCACCTAATCTGAGTTTATAGCAGGGTTGATCAATCTTGTCTGGCATCCAGAGTAGGCGACGGACAAATCTTAATTCAAAATTAGAAGTGGAAACCATTCTCTCCAATAAGGATAAAAACCAGAGCATTGTTTTCTAGCACAGAAATATATCCATCCAATAGTCTCCACAAAAATTTGCTTTACAAGCCAAATTTCATATTTGTGATAACCACGCTTAGTTTAAAAAAAAACAAAAACATGATGCCACTGACACTTGTGAAAAAGGATGCAGATGGACTTACTCCTTTAAGACTAAGAAAAACCTAATGATGAAAATCGTGTGTTGGTGGTGCAGTTTAATATAATTACTATTTCCAGACAAAAATAAACTTTAAAAAACAAATTCAAATTTTGTACTTCCTCAGAACTGATGCTCTTAGAAAAGATGTGAATATACGTTTCCCTGCACCATCCTGACATATCTTAAAAAAATGTCTCATTACTGGACTAGCATGCTGTTCACCTGAGAACAAATTTTAATATGTAAACACTTTGAGCGTACAACGTACAACGGCCGAAACGTTGTGATAAATATGACGACAAAGATGAGGACAATAGTCCAAATAATGTAAATAATATTAGAATGGCCTGTTAATAATATCAATAATGTGTAACATCTATCAGACAGCGCCAAATTATTATTACAAATCAGTATCTTAATGACCAAATACCAGAAAGGTTTTGGAAGAAAATCGGTAAATGATGTGTTATGCCTATTTAACTATCGTGCTATTTCATCTTTCATAAGTCCTAAACTCGGGGCCTCTGAAAGCATTAGGAAAGTCAGCTATCCTTAAATCAGTAGACACACCCACTTCAGAAGGATCCATTTATGACCGGCAACTTTAAAGGAACCGCTGCTAATTGCTCACTCACTGTTTCCAATACACCCAATGACACCACTGAGGATTTAACCAATTCTTTTCTTTATGTATGCGAAACTACTCTATTCTTATTCTATGGGTCATGTCTCTTCTGGACGTGGGTGATCATGGATCTCCAGAACACCTTTGTAGCTCTTCGTAAGGTTAACCTTTATACTATCTCTGAATCCCTTGTCTGTCAACCAATTACACAAGCTTGTTGGGTTGGTTATTCAGTGCTTTTCTTTGACTCTCTAGCCTTCAATATAACATGTAAGCATTAAATTCTCCAAGCCCTCTTTCCTCATTATGTACATTCATTTGATCTCATCCCACTGCTATGAAGAGAGAGAAAAAAGTGGGTGTAAGAATCTAAATGTGGCAAAGTTGGACCTTCGTGCCCACAAAAAAAGAAACAAAATAAAAAAGGAGCGTGAAAGTGATGGTTTTTCCCTTGACACCACTATTATTTTAACTACCTTCCATTCTTGGCAATGACTGTTTTAAAAATTGATAATCAGAATTGTAATAAAACTTAAACATATGATGAAAGTGAATTGATACATTTTCTTTTTGGTTTTTTGGAATTTACAACAAAAATATTAAATATTATTTGATTGTTTTTTACACTTTTATATCATTTATTGAAATGGTTGGCAAAACATCAGCTAATTGCCATTTGATTCGAACTTTATAAAATGTCAAATAATAAGAATTTCCTTATAGAATGGTTCACATATTTTACAAGAATGATTTTATATTTACAACATTCTAAAAAATAATATAATTAAAACTAATGCAATGCAATATTTATCATTTACTAATTTATAAAGAAATAAATATGAAAACAATTTTTATTCATAAACGTTTATTAAATTATTAAAATATGTTAACCAACCAACTAGAAGGAAATCTTATCATCATCTTATAAATTCCTAATCAATTGGCAATTAGCTGAAGTTTAGGTTTTATTACAATTCTAATCATCGGTTTTTAAAACAATAAACATGCCGAAGAGTAAAGTTAATTAAAATAATGTCGGTGTCACTAGAAAAATCGTTATTTTGACACGTTGGTTCAAGTTTTGCCCTTACAAATTATAGATGCGTCATTTATTACCAAAAATAGTTGTAAATCAATGAGCTAAAAGCGAGTTACCTCCCTTAGATCGGATCAAGTTGTATGCAAATGGTCAAGGAGCTAAGAGCTGACTTACCTCGATTAATATGTCTTTTTCTGGTTTCTTCCGAAAGAAAGTGGCGCGATCTTTCCATTCGGGCTCTGATGTTTCTTTGACTGTACTTGTTCTCTGTTTGTTACCTTCGCAGTTAATTATACAGTACAAATCCCCTGTAACAATTATAATGGTTAAAAAATGAATATAAAAATCACTTCTCAAAAGAAAGTAATTTATTTAAGACGTCGAAGAATACGCTCATCTAGTCATAAACGAACCTGAAGGTATTTATCCAAATGCCTACTGCCTCTTAGAATCCAAGCTGTCACTCTTAATGAAACGAATACCAAAATTAAATGACCCTTTTCGTTGATACCGTTTTATGTAGTAGTGTGGGGGAGTGTCCAGAGACGACACAGACCGCGATAATGTAACCCACTTCTTCCCAAGGACGTACAGCCATACAATTTGGACCCTATCTCTCGTAGATATATTCACCTTGGGATGGCTGTGTGGTCAGGTTGGTTACATACAGTTTTAAACTGGCCAGAAAGTTGGCACCAGTTAGGCCGTCGATCGTCTAGAGTTGCTAGTAAATGTTGTGTTTCTTACTGGCAAGAGTTGGGCTGCCCTTCCTCTTGATTTTAGTAAGCCTTGGTATTTGACGACGGGGCTGAAGAAAAGAAAGTCGTGCTTTTGTCGGAAGAAGGAGAAGGCCTGATCTTGGCTGAAAATGGTAGTTTTAATAATAGTAAATAAATATAGAATATTTACAAAGCTTTGATATAACTTAACATCTCTGTAGGGGTAGGGACTTGGAACCAAAGTATGTATTCTCAAAATTTTATCAGAGAATCGAACATGAGTTAATTTCAGGCAGGTGTGAATTGCATGTGTGTTGATCAGTTAATCTAAGATGTATCTCTCCTCTCAATTCTCCCGGCTTTCCCTCTCGTTCCTTTCGCCAAAATGTCGTATATATGAGGACCTATCCCCTACGGGTTTTCTCACAATCCCTCGATCACAAGAGGGATCAAAAAAGGGTCATTTCCTCTTATTTTTGACTTAAGCAAACTTTAAATATCACTAACCTTCAAGGTAATCTGTATTCAAAATAACAACCTGTCGTGTTTCTTACACTAAACCGGATGATGACTACTCGATGACCCAAAGCAGAATGCGAAAACGCGTCTCTGCGCATCATGGCCCAACGCATGTTTTCGGTATTAAATATACCGAAAATATATTGGCCAGTAGAAATAACTCTGGCTAAAAGACCCAGAGTGTGATTTGGAGTCGATACGATGGATATAAATTCTTTGATTCAACACCGCAAAGCAGAGAGAGAGAGAAAGAGAGAGACCCGCCTGAGATGTCGACACGCAGAGGCTGGTCAAGAAGGCAGCAGACACACTGAACGCGATACTTTCCAACTTTCATCCTTGGCCGCCGCCGTCTTCAAAAAACATCAGCCGGCAACAATGACCAACATTCTTTCTCTGTCTTCCTTCTCTTATCTGTCGCCTTTTACAACAGCAACGAGCTTTTCCTCGAAGTTATGTTTGCTGAGGCGAAGAAAAAGTTAACCCCTTCAGCAGTAACAACAACAGCGACAAGTTCTGCCTTTCGAGGTTACCCATTCTTCATTTCCGTAACAAACCTTACATATTCGTCAGATAAGGTTTTATGCGAACATAGACAAAATAATGTTGTCACCTGTCAAAATCTGCAGTTCTTTGAACATTATGGCGTCACAATCAAGTTTCCATGGAAAATTTGATTTCACCCAAAGGGTCAAACTTATAAATTTTTCTGTTCCAACCTCGCTACCACCAGAAACCAGAACTATAAAATACACTTCTATAACAAACAAGTTACCTTGATACAACACATCACTTTTCTCATTATGTGTTCCAGAATGTTTAACTGTCTACATCAATCATGGGCAACCTTTTTCGAGCATTGGGCCGAATAAGATATAATATATTAATAGGCGAACACCATTATTAAAAAAAATCAAGATCATTTTTTGTTGAAGGTATCTCAGCCATTTTTACTAGAGAAGACAATACGCGTAAACATCAACCTCAGAAATCAGGAAAAGTTGATATTTTTTTCTTTGGTGAAAATATTTTTCTATAATAAAAAAAACTGAAGTCTTCGCATAACATTATCACTGATGATAATGTGATTTATAGTGGGTCAGCCAATTTGTATTGGTTATAAATAGAAATAAAAACTGACCCTCTACAATTTTTACAATATCAAATGTAACAAAGATAACAAGAGAAATAATCAAATAGAAGAAAATGTGAATTTGTTCAACAATAAATATTTTTTTATAAACACAACAAATACATAATATGTAGTGCAAAAGTTGATAAACACAATAGAGTTCTTTGGTGTGTGTGTGTTACTGAAAGAATTTGCGCTACTGTACTGTATGTGTGAAAATGACAAGGTTTAGTTAGCTATATTAGTTTTTGTAGGAAAATTAAACAGATGTTTTTTTGTGTATTAAATAGAAAAAAAGTATTGTTCTTGACTCACTGATTGTTATAGCTCATTAACCAGAGATTCTTGTGGAATAGAATATTTTGTGGGAGTGAGCGTTAAGCCTGGAGATGGTTGACAAAGTTTGTTGTTGTATTGAAGATAAAGTTCGTCTCCTTTGCTGTGTTGATTTCCAATGAAGTCAAGTGAATTGGTTTCAATATTTTAAGTGCCCACTGACCAAGTCGCGTCGAAGTTTCGTTTTTATTAGTTCGCTTGGTCACGTGGAGAGGCTCGTAAACATGTTTACATTTTATGGCGTCAACTAGAGGTCAAAATTTGGGTCGGTACCTTCGGACGTAGTTGACGACACCTAATTAATATTTTACAACCAATCAAAATACATCAGTTGTTATATTTGGCTGGGAGCCTCTATGTGTTTAACTTGCACAAAATTTAAGATTTAAAAAAAATGTAGGAATCTGATTCTACAGATTAACACACACTACTGTGAGTTATTTGTTTCTAATTTATTCATTTAACTATACGAAAGATGAATATATTTCTGCTCCAGAGAAAAATATTTGATGAACGTTTCTTTTCTCTAAAGCAAAAGATGTTTACCCGCGTGATCTTCCTTCGTGAAAATCGCCAATCGTTTAAAATGCTGAAAAACTTATCTTCACCGAAAGTTTTAAAAATTCAAGAAACATTGTATTAATCTTTGTTTATGTGTGAGAAAATGTGAGTGAAGAAGTGAGGACGAAGCGAAAGAAAATTTTAAGAAACATTATTTGGGCTGAAAGTAGCCGAAGCATGCGGCACGCGGAGAGCAGTTTGCTTCTGACTGGCCTAGATTAAGTATGGTTGCTTAAAAAAGAAAAAAAAAGAAAATTTTGACAAACTACTAACCTTCTTTTTGGTCCCCATTGAGAATACCTTCACCTCGGTAGACAGTGACTGCAGTGACAGCACGAAATCTCGGCCCTAGGCAGCCAGGGGGCTTGGGTCCATCTTTTTCAACAGCTCTGCACGTACAGGATTGTAAACAAATATTCTATTTAACAAAGGGTCAATAAAACAGTTAAATAGCAAAAAAAAAAAAAAAAAAAAAAAAGCCAAGTCAACTCCATTATTAAGAGTCCGGTTCTTAAAAGCAAATTTTATTTGTCCGAAAACTGACTTTACCGAAAACGGCAAATCGAATCCTGACTTTGTCGAATTATTACCTTCTATAGGCGAAAGTCTATGCGGGGAAGTACCAGGCTGTACCTCTCTTTCGAGAGTGGGGCTGGATTTATTGCCCGGTGCCTGAGATGGCTTGGGAAATTGCAGTTAAACCCATTTTAAACTTTGACCTTGTGTCACTTTTGGCAGCGACGTAGACGCGCTGAAAGTTACACATCTCATCGAAAGATAAAAACGTTAAATATTAAAGGGAGATAATTTTTATGTTTTTTGTATCATTTTCAAATTGTCCCGGTTAATTTGATTGTTGTGTTTTTTTTTAAATTTATTTTCCGATAATAAATACATTTTTTTCACATAAATTCTGAAATTTTAATTCGTGTAATAATGTTGCTTAATATTTTACCTTTATTCTGTGAATATTTGATAAAATAAACTAATTTAAATATTTATACTTTTTCCTTTTCATTATTTTGTTACAGTGGTGTTTGTTCACCCTGTACAGGTCCAGGGGTCGACTCGATGTAGAGGCTTACCAAGTAAGAGGCACAGCTTATACGGATGCTTGTGGAAGATAACGGTTAACTGTAGACTTGAACAGGCTAAGTTGGCAGTCGGTTCCATATGGCAGTGGTTCGTGAGAAGAAGTCTCTTGTGTGTAACTTACATCTCACCAGGAGAATATGAAAGGAATGAGGATGGTTCGCTGCAATATACGTGGTGGCATAGTGGGGTCTTAGCCGTGAAGAACTTGTGAAACCAAGGAGTGTATTTCATCTGAAGACTCTCTATGGAAATAGCGATATCGAGCAGTGAGAGGGCTGGGGACGTCTCGTCTGTGCAAAAGAGGTTGCAGAGTGGAAGATAATTCGTCGCCTACAAGGATGCGGAGACGCTTTTGGACTCTATTGAGGGCGGAAAGTGAAGACTGGCAGCTCCTTATCTGGCAGTTGTAAAGGTAGAGAATAGCAGGAGGAGTCAGATACATACTGGAGCGGTACAGACAACCGATGATTATTCCAGCATTTCTAGCGATGGATCATATATACGAGTTCCACCTGAGATCTGCGTCGAGTTTAAGTCCCAGCAGACAAGGTTCGGGGCCTCCCTAAGGGAATGTCCGTTCATCACGATTGGTGAAAGTTTTAGGTTCGATCGGCGATGGTGGAAGGTCACTAGTTGTGGTATTGAATGTAACCAACTAGTTGCCCCCCCCCCCACTGAGTTGCTAGGTCTAGGTCAGGGGAGAGATCAGTTGTCAAGCTCTGGTCATCGATGGTTTGAGAGGTGCACCTATATATCGTTGTATCATCAGCACAGATATTCATAAATGATCAGAGTATACCGTTAGGCAGATCATTTACGTAGAGGAGGAAAGTGGCTTGGACCGAGAAGCAAACCTTGGGGATCGCCTGGGATTCAGAGGATTGGCCATTAACAACTATCTTCAGGAACTTATTCGTTAGGAAGGAGTTTATAACGGTGAAAACTCTTCCAGTGACAGCATAGCTAGAGAGCTTGAGAAGTAACCACTTATGCCATACTTTGAAGGTCTTTGAAATATCTAATGCGACTGTCCTTGAGATGTATTTGTTGTTAAGTGACTCACTAATTCTGTGAGTAATCTCAGGATATCAGCAGTGGACCGGGATGATCGAAACCTGTACTGTTTGTTGCTGAATAGGTTTTTCCTATTGAAGTATTCTTCTTGTTGATTATAGCATCAAAGAGTTTGCTAATGATACCGAGGAGACTGATGAGTCGATACTGAGATGGGATGAGCATTCTCCCGCATTCTTGAAAACCGGGAATACATTTGACAACTTCTATAGACTTGGGAAGGATTTCTCCTTCAAGCAGCGGTTAAATAATTTCGCTAGGATGGGGAGAACTCTAGGTCAATATTCATAAGGACAACCACCAGAATTTTGTCTAGACCGGTAGCCTTCTTAGGCTCAAGAGTTTTGATAAGTCTTGAGATATCCTGGGCTGTAATGAAAATATTACTGAGATTATGCTCCGTGAGACTCGGGAAGGAGATGGTCTTTGTCATCTAACGTTAAATTCGATGTAAAGAGCTCCACCTTGTGTGACGGGGATGAGATAACCTCGGTGCCATTTATAATAGTAGGCACTGATGCTTTGTCTCTATTCAGAATTTGGTTAGAGACCTTGCAGAACAGCCTAGGTCTAAGTTATTTGCTTTCACCCCTGACATGGACTGCTCGAGCACAGCTACACTTTGCAATTTCTACAACTCTCTTGCAGCATTTGCGGGCAGTTCTGAATGCAGCAAGTGTCCTACTAAACCGCTCCCTGTGATAGGGCATTGTAGTAGTGGTTACGATGTGTTATGGCTGCAGTACATTTGGGGGTGAACCAAGGATGGCTGTTCGGTTTCTGCTGGAATTTTTTCCGGATTATAAAACTCTCAGTAAAGATCCATTCTAATACGACGGCAGCAGTTCTGCTGACCTCGTATTAGAATGTGTTTGAAGAAGGCTGCACTAAAATCGCCCTTGCATGGAGTATTGCTGCTGTATATGGTCTGGGGCCCCTTCTGTTTGCCTCGGGGTTCTTGATAGGCACCAGAGGCGGATATGCAATATAATTGGCCCTGATCTGGCATCTCGTCTACAGTCACTCTCTCACAGACGCTACGTCGCCTCTCTCTGTCTTTTTTACAAATACTTTCACGGCAATTGCTCCGAGTAGCTGCATTCGCTGGTTCCCAGACTTCATGAATTCAAGCGCCCTACGAGGCTGGCATCCCGCTCTCACTCTTTCACTGTCGAAACTCCTAAATGTTGCCGTCTTTTCTACTCCAATAGCTTCATGTCTCGCACCTCTCGTTTGTGGAACTCCCTTCCCTATTCCATTTTCCCTGAGAGCTATAATCTCCAACTATTCAAATGTAATGTCAATCGACATCTCCAGTTGCCTTGATCTATCCACTAACCTTCTCCTAATCCTTTCCTCTATCACTCCTATCTGATCTTGCTCCAAATCTTATGTAACCCCTTGAGTCCTAGTGGCTTCCCGCCTTGCTTGGGGTGAAACGCTTAAAAAAAAAAAAAAAGAAAAAAGAGGAGCATCCGCCACATAGGAAGCTGAAGCTGCCCAGTCTGCTTTCAGATACCGAAAGATCGTTCTGTGGAACAGTCTGTCAGGGGATGCATTTGGTTTGGTATCAACTTTGACTGACTAGGGAATGATTTGAAGTGCCCATGGAGGAGGTGTAACACTTCTGCGAGGTATTTTTCAAGACAGGATGTGACGAAGAGATTAAGGAGGTTCGCCTGATGTCCTGTCACATCAGGAACGCGGGTGCTTCATCATTGACCAATGTTAGTTCGAAGGCTATGGAGAATTCTCTGTAGTATCTACCTTCTTCGTCAGTTTTGTTCGAGTGGAGTAATCATTCTCTTTTTGATAATTATTGAAATCACCGCAAACATGGAAGCTAGCCGAGAGAAATTATCAATCGTCTCGGATATTTGGCTGACAATTACAGTTCTTGTCATCTTGAGGACAATAGATGGTGAAAAGGTGGTACAGTGGATAAGTGTAATGGGGAAGCACCTATAAGGGAGAACAGGATTCTCTTTTTGGATAGTCCGTGGTGCTTTTGATGGGTCTGTTTAGTTATTAGAAGTAAATAGCCTGGGATCGCGAGCTCCTGCAGTGGAATAGAGTTAACAAAACCAGTAGATGGTGTTCCACGTCTGGAAAGCTGAAACGTAGGCCCCTCATTGGTGGAGAAGAGTGTGAACCTGGGGTCTACTTTTATTTTTTATGAGGTTGTGTTTACATACGTAAAGAAATCAAATATGAAATACGTTTTCTGTATTAATCCATATACTTTTATTTATTTAACATTCTGATAAGTTTGTTATGCTTCACCATTTTTCAATTGTTTTACTCGTGTAACTTGCAAGAAAATGAAAAACAATTTGAAACATTAATATAACATTAGTGCAAATTGTTGTTTGAGCACTTGGAATGATTTTGAATAACGATGTAAAATAAAATACAAATGTGTTAGAAAAATTAGAAAGTGAGAGAAGAAACGAAACCACTAAGACAACTATATTGTTAAAGTAACTGCAATACTAAGGAATCTGTTATGGAATTTTTTTTAAGTGTTTCACCCCAAGCAAGGCGCCAAGCCACTAGCACGCAAGGGGTTACAAAGAGTTGGATCGAGAGCAAATAGGAGTGATAGAGGAAAGGATGAAGAGAAGGATAGTGGAGAGGATCAAGGCACCTGGAGACGTCGATTGACATTACATTTGAATAGTTGGAGATTATAGCTATTCGGGAAACAGGAAAAGGGGAGCGAGTTCCACAGGCGAGAAGTGCGAGACATGAAGCTATTGGAGTAGAAGAGACGGCTACATTTAACAGTTTTGATAGTGAAAGGGTAAGAGCGAGATGCCAGCTTAGTTGAACGCTTAAATTCATGAAGTCTGGGAACCAGCGAAAGCAGCTCACCGGAGCAGTTACCGTGAAAGTATTTGTAAAAAAAAGATAGAGGGAGTCGACGGTACGCCTGTGAGAGAGTGACTGTAGACGAGATGCCAGATCAGGGCCAGTTACATTGCATATCCGTCTCTGAATCTTATCAAGAACCTTGAGACAAACAGATTTGGCAGCGATAAACAACATATATCTGAACTGAACTTGCCAATACAAGTTGAAATATATAATTAGATTATTATTATTATTATTATTATTATTATTATTATTATTATTATTCGAGCTGAGTACCACAAATTGAAAGAGGGTTCAAAATCAGATTAAATTAAGTTTTAAAGATTTTTGATTTGTTATTTTCATAGAATTAGCATATTTATTAAGTATATTCGAATATAAAAAATTTTGATTTTAAATACACATTTAAAAAACCTGCATATAAGATTTATATAAATGTTTTAGAAGCTAGTGTTTTGAGGGGAAAAAAGCAAACCAAAATCAATTTTAAAAAGAAAATTATTTTGAATATTAATTAATATTTGTGATATTAGATAAATAATGCTGCTCAAAAGCGTTATCGTAGACTGAGGTTAAGAAGATGAATTTAGTCTAGTCCTGGGTATGACGATAAACTACATCCAGCAGTAATGCCTCTGATCGGAGATTGGAGGTTTTGAGGAGCGTAGGACCCCTTCTTAATTGCTGTTGTTTCCAGATCCACCCTGGACTTGGGTGGTAGCACCTGTTAGGATCCTAGCTATGGACAAATGACGAACTCACATACGAAAACAAAAAAAGATGAAAATATAAAAATACATTTTTAGAATAAAAATAGCAGCAACATATTTTTTTATATAAATAAATATTACCAACAATACCTATTTGTAGCAGAATTACCAACAATTCTTATTTATCCGTTGATAAAATTGTGTTCAAAATATTTAGATTTCCGCATTAAATAAGCCATAGAGCTGTTGATATGTCACTAAACAAAATCAACCAACAAATTTAACCTCCTATGTAGTTCGCGGCCTCTGAAAAACGCATAGGGGCTTCAGACCCACCATATTAGCAACATGGATGAATGATGAAAAAGGTTGGCTTTCTAAAAACTAATGATGTTTCTATCTATGGTTAACATTAGGACAAATGAAACTTTTTACAGCTTTTTGACATTTTTGTTGTGATGACAATCATGACAATCATAGCAATGATAATATCTATAATATTCTTAAAGTCGAGAAAGAAAACATTGCCAAAAAAAAAAAATCTCAAAAGCTAATAGAGCATCTATTGTAAAATGATGTTTGGTATGTTGACCTGTTAAGTCATTCCACTGCACAGAAAATGGCGAACACTAAATTCAGGAAGGATTAGAAAGAAAATAATGTTGATGTATTTTAGTAGATAATTCACTGAAGCAGGAAATTAACTCTTGGCGAGTTATGGGTGATCGATGCATACCAGCCGGGCGATGTTTGAGTCATACAAATTATCAAAGAGTGATCATCTAGAGACGATATTATAATACACACATTGTACACAAGGATAGAGAACTGGTAAACTCTAGTTTGACTTTTAATGGTTGAGAAAAAAGTATTAAATCTCTAAGTGAAGAGAATAATAGGCTAACGCAAAAGAGATCGAGATAGTTGCATCTTTGTAATCAATGCCAATTTTAAACCTTGGGGTTTTTAAACCAAAGTTTTAAAAATCAGGTTTTAAAATATTGATTTTCAAAGCAGGCAAACATTTTTTTTGTTTTTTTAGTTAGATTCATGTCAATCCCAGCCAAGCAAATATAAATGTGAATGTAGAGATATTGACACTAAATTTCGTCATCTTCTTAAAGCATAAATCTGTTGGCAAACCAGGACAATTTCATTTGAAATACGACTGAAACATCCCAGCGGATTTATCTTTTTAATTGTTCCACCCCCAGATAAAGCGATAATGTTACTATGATGCATGGGGTTGCAGGGAGTGTAAGAGAATGAAAATACTTTAGTGAGGAGTCGTCGGGAAAGGACAATAAGGGAACAGTGTTCAAGGAGACAGAAGATGTCGATTGACATTACATTTAATTTTTAAAGATCGTAGGTGACGGGTAAGCAAGAAATCAGCAGGGAGTTCCACAGGTGAGAAGGACGAGAGAAGAAACTATTAGAATAGAACTGACGGTTGCATCTCGATAGTTCAATAGTAAAACGATGAGACCTTGTTGCCAACCAAGTGGCACGTTTAAATTCATGGAGTCGGAAGATTAGGAAAAAAGTTCATCAGAACAGTTGCTATGAAAATCTTTATAGAAAAGAAGCCACGTGACGTCGGTGAGAAGGTCAGGATCAATGTCAGTAAGTACATTGTAAATCCTAATAGAGTAAAGATCATTTAAATTCACTAATTTATGTGGCTTGAAATCAATATATCTAACAATTTCTATTTTAATAAAATGCCATTGTTATAAAGAAAGAAAACTTACTTTAATTTGATGTCGTTGGTGCTGTACATGCGAAGAATATATTTGCCAAGTATCCTGGGGTCGTACGTTGATGGAATTATACAGTAACGTCCTTTATTAAGGGAAACTCGGGCGAAGACACTTCGGGCATTGGAAAATGGGCCAGAGTGAACTTTGTCGTAAAATTTGTCGTGAACTCTGTACTTTCTGTTCATGTCAGTCTGTAGATATATAATTAAATTCTCAGTAGATGAAGAAAATGTTTTTTTAGAGCGACGTCCAAGATGAAACAAGATAAAGCTAAATGGTTCTGCAGATAACAAAATTAGAGTCTTGGATTTGACAGTGTAGATGTGTACAAGCGAAATTTATAAACTTTAAAGTTCTCACGTTTATGAATCTAAGTGTCTGAATCTCCTGCAATTGGAGGAGTAAAGAGTTTCTACAGTATCGAAAAGGGATTATATTTATGAAGCTATACTTATACGTAGATACTTATAGATCTTAAACGATATATTCTAGAACTATACAAGTCATGTTTAAAAATGTGTGCAAAAGTCTCCCTCGCTGTTACATCTATATTAGAATTTGTAGGTTTACCCAAGTTGTCTAGCAAAGCAATTATGAAAACAACCACCAGATGGCGTTACCAAAACAATAAAAGAAACACGTGCAAATGTATATCTCCTTTTCTCTTTACTCACGAGATGCCTTAGAGATAGGGTATGTCTTGTTTTCCTTCTTGTGGGCTTTTAAGTTCCCCACGGACCTCATGTTGCATTGAACAACGCACAGAAAGGGCACAGCACACGTTTCCCTAAGCTTAATTGACTAAGCACAACTATATCTAGTAATGGCACTAATATTTACATTATTAACACGTTAATGTTATCACAACGTTTCAGTCGTAGTGCCGGCCGGCCTTCATCAGGTTCATGTCGATCCGGGTAACTTACAGGGAATTTTGAACTGAACCCTTTGTTTAATCTACATGGGCTGATTGTTCTCGTTCCACGGCCCGTGTCGAGGTATGTCACTAGATGTTAGAGAACTTGGAGCCTTAAACCAAACCTCCCTGCTGATGAGTGATGCTGCTTGCCATGCTTGCCTATGCTCACAGAAGCTTTCTCTCTTTTGATACAGCTGCTGAAGATTTACTGTCATTTGCCTTTCTTTATTAGCATATCTTATTTATTTCTATTTTGGGCCCACTAAGGAGATACTCATGGTCTAGCATAAATTTTGATTCTTTCAGACGCCTAACTCTCCAGTGTTCTACCTTGTCTAGTATTTTCACTTTATTCCAGAGTGATTGATGACTAAACATTTCCCTCCATAAATGATCAGCCATGCCTGATTTCATGGTTTTACCCCTCACTATGACTTTTTGACGTTCCTCCAGCTTTATTTTGAGGTCGTTTTTTCACCTTTATATAATTTGCAGGTAATAGAGTACCCACAGTTATTGGTCATGTTCTCTCCCGTGTTAGGCTCGCCTCGGCCGAGTGGAGCTTCTTCTGAATATTGTCCTGATGTTGTATGGACCGCAGATTTTCTGAATCTTTTCCAATAAAATCTTGATGTAAGGCAGACAATGACAATTTTCTGGTTCTACTCCATGACGCTTCCGTTTCCACCAGCAGACATTGATCTGAAAGGTACGCTTGGAGATTAACATTTCCCGTTGGCATGACTCTGGGTACGGTGTTGAAAGCATCAGATGATCCCTTTCTTCATCCTGTATGGATGGTGGGACGAAGTTGAGGCATTGTGACATACGCCTGTTTTGAACCCATTCTCTGTCCAATTTATTAGTGCTTCCAGGAAAGTTTGTTGATTATTATTTTCTTCTATTGTAAACTGGATCGAAGTTCCCATGGTCCAGCAGTATTTGTACAGCTTCCTAGTGAGGCCGGGGTTAGGGTTAGAGTATGAAGGTGTCATCTATGTATCTCAGCCATACTGCTAGCATCATTGATATTGTTCACAAAGCCGTATCCTCGAACTATTCCATGAATATGTTTGACATCACTGGTGACAACGGTGAACTCATAGCCAAACCTTACTCCTCTTGGTATATGTCAAACTAGTTGGAAGAACGTTGTTTGTACGCAGAACGTCATAATTTCCATCAAATTATCTTTGGGAATGTTAGTAGGAAGGGGTGTAATTTCAATCGGTTTCGAACGAGAATGAGAACAATATATGCCCATAGATTAAATAAAGGGTTCAGTTCAAAATTCCCTATAGATCACGGATCGATATATATCTGAAGAAGACAGGAGAACAAACAACCGAAACGGCGTGATAATAATGGCAAAAAAATGAGGACATTAATCCGAAAGTTAAATAATGTGAAAAAAGCTTTCTTATTCTTAAATACTCCAATTTTCCTCATTCAAATAACCGCACCTGTAAAGAGTTAAAACAAAAACAAAACAATCCGCCTATTTATAGCCCAAACCTTTTATTTTCATGAAGATGAAATTTGATTTGAGTGAGGTTTGGCCTTCTATAATCATAGCCTCTGCATGGCCCCCTGGATAACAAGGACTTAGGATATTGTTAATGCCTATTGCTCGGGGAAATGCAGCAGGAATTTTCTTTACCTGAAAATGGCACATCGCCAACCTCCTCGTGCTGTTTGATGAGCATAACATTTATCTTGCTGTGATTATTATCGGATCTCAAAATCCATTTCTGTGTAATGAATTTGATCCCCCAAAAAACCAATCATCATTGTCACCCCACGGTCATCGTAAATATTCATAATACAAGTATTCGATAGATAAGGCGAAGTTATGAGTTCGACTTACGCGTAACACAGTAAAACCAATGACATCGTTCACTCTGCCTTTCCTTTTTGCAGACCTTTTGTCTTCCTGCTCCAGGGATACCAATAACTCTTCAGCGTTGTCCACATTAAATAAATACTGAAACAAAGACGAGGATCAGGAAAAAGTAAAAAAAAAACAATGTTTTGTTTAAATAACATTTGAGAGTTTCACTGCGTTCATTGAAGGCAATTATCGAAATTTATAGTCAGAGAAGAAACTACAAAAGTCACTTTGCTTGTAGGAAGGGTCATTTTTGTATTGAAAGGTTTATAGCAAAGTGAGTGAAAATAATTAACAAGGAGAATGACAGCAGCATGATGACTGCAAGTGGAATGATAGCATCTTGAGAACTGCATAGGGAATGATAGCATCTTGAGAACTGCATAGGGAATGATAGCATCATGATGACTGCAAGTGGAATGATAACATCTTGCGAACTGCATAGGGAATGATAGCATCATGATGACTAAAGAGAGAATGATAGCATCATGATGACTGCAAGAGGAATGATAGCATCTTTAGAACTTCAAAGAAAATGATAGCATCTTGAGAATTGCATAGAGAACGATAGCATCTTGAAAACTGCAAAGGGAGTAACATCATCATGATGATTAAAAGTGGAATGAGAGCATCTTGAGAACTGCAGAAGTAATGACAGCATGATGAGGATTGCAAGGGGAAATATAACATCAACCAAAACAATTTTCATGCACAACCATCACCCACCTTCGTGAAAAAAATTGTTTCCTTATCATTAACTCACACTTAGCAAATGTTAATGGCTGTTGCCTGCACATTAGCATTGTAGGCAAGCTATTCTGAATTAGATGGTTTGTAAATTATATGATTTCAAATCTTGGCATAGGCAATCAATCAAACAAGGTTTATTGAGGTTGAATATTTCTAATCATGTCAGTAATGCAATAATGGCTTTCATCTGTTTTGACGGTTGATATATCATAAAACATATCAATCGTTTTTTAGCTAGTGGTTATTTTAGATGTCTAAAGCAAAAAGTGGCCTCAATGTTTTCTCATCACTGACAGATTTCGGTCGAACATGCTCATATATAAGTCGAACTGAAAGATTTGAACTTAAAAACTTAAATTAAATCTCACCTGTGGATTATGGAGGAATGAGTCCGAATAATTGCCGCAACCACCACACCGGCTTGGTGAGGTCCACTCACCTTTACCAATGTATTCTTTCCATTTCTTCTTAATGGAGAAAAGTGAGGTATTCATTATGTGGCAGATGTCGATGTCTGTGTAATAGCGGCAAAAGTCTTCAAAAGCCATCCTAGAGGTGAAAGGAACCAGAAAAATACAAGTGTTGTGTTATTATTGTTTTTACTAAATATTCACTCAGTACAAGGCCCAAGCGCCACTCAAAGGAGAGGGTTGCTGAATTAGATTGCTGTATAGACATACGAGGGGAAATAAGTGAAAATTATGAGGATATATAGGATAGATAACGGCTGGCTCTAGACTTAAAGAGGTTAATATTGTAGGGATCTCGGTAGTCTGTTACACAAAGTAACAATTCTTGGGAAGAAACGCTCAAAACAGAACTTTTTACTAATGCAAAGTGAATGAGGAAGATTCAACACATTGTACGTGGAATGGCGAGTCTTATCTGTAAAGGTCTGAATTGGTAGAACTAATGAATGTATCTTGTCAGAACATTTACCATGCGAATAGACATAGAGTACAGACAGCGTTTTTCATCAGCAGCAGAAGAGGTAATTACATAGAAATAGATGAATTGCCCATACTCTTTTTTTTTTTCTTTTAAAGCGTTTCACCCCAAACAAGGCGGGAAGCCACTAGCACGCAAATAGGAGTGATAGAAGAAAGGATGAAGAGAAGGATAGTGGATAGGATCAAGGCACCTGGAGACGTCGATTGACATTACATTTGAATAGTTAAAGATTATAGCTATCAGTGAAACAAGGGGAGGGAGTTCCACAGGCGAGAAGTGCGAGACATGAAGCTATTGGAGTAGAAGAGACGGCTACATTTAATAGTTTCGACAGTGAAAGGGTGAGAGCAAGATGCCAGCCTAGTTGAACGCTTAAATTCATGAAGTCTGGGAACAAGCGAAAGCAGCTCATCGGAGCAGTTATCATGAAAGAATTTGTAAAAAAAGATAGAGGGAGGCGACGGCACGTCTGTGAGAGAGCGACTGCAGACGAGATGCAAGATCAGGGCCAATTACATTGCATATCCGTCTTTGGATTTTATCAAGGATCTTGAGACAAACCTAAGGGGCTCCAGACAATATATGGTAGCAATACTCCATGCAAGGACGAATGGTTGATTTGTAGATTTGAAGGATCGAATCCGGCGAGAAAAATTTCCTGGCGCGGCACAGGGAGCCAACTTTCCTTGCGGCGGACGAAGCTATTAATGAAGGAATGACTTTTTTGATGAAGTAAATCTCATCCAATTTTCCACCGACCACCCAATGACTTTAATTGCTAGGTCACCTGCTAAGAAAGTTGGTTCACTGTGTCGTGCGAGACAGTTTTACAGAATCTCTCCAGAACCTATCATACATATCTATGTCTACCATTCGTCTATGCGTAGAATATTGCTGCCCCTGCTATTTACCTTGAGCTCCAAAGAAGAATCCGAAATATTATTTGACCTGATCTGGTGGTTCAGCTCCATTCACATCCCACCACCATAAGGTTGCCGCTATGTCTTTTCTATATATACTTTCTAGGTAATTATTCGAATGAACTCTTCGCTATGGTACCTAGAGTTTGTTTTTTAATTTAAGAGCAGCACTAGACTGGCGTCGAGATCTCATCAATTTACAGTTGAGCTATCTAGATGTAGCTGTATGTTCTATGCTAACAGTTTTTTTTCTCGAACATCTCGCTTTTGGAACTCCCTTCCGGCTCCATGCTTTCCAGCCAGCGAAAATTTAAATGCAATGTCAATCGTTATTAACTGTCCTTCTTATTTCTCTTTCCTCTTCCCACTCATTATTAATGTTTCTGTACCTAATTCTTCATCATCCTGTAACCCCATGTGTCTTAGTGACTTTACTGCCTTGCATGGGGTTTAAACAGATTAACACAAAATGCAGTGATTTATAAAATCTTTTAGGTGAAATACTACTCTTGAATAAAAAAGCACAACAATGTTTTAAAAAAAGCCTATAGGTAAGATTTTTGTTTTCAAAGTAGAAAAAAGTGCCTACTCACCAAAATTCACCATTTTCATCAAAATTCAGACCCATTTCTTTTTTTGATCGCTCTCTTATATTCTTCCATTCTTCCGAACTGTTAATCAAAATAAATTTCAATTTCAAAATAGTTATTAATTCGGAGGAATATATTCTTATATCTAAAAAATAAAATCCTATAATACATCAGCGATTCCCCTACCCATTAACACCATTGATATATTTGTTAAATTGTGTATTTTAATACAGTGTGTAATTAGTGACGGAGCATTTTAATATTTGTTGATTTTATAATTAGTAGCGTTAAATATTCGTTGGTCACGAGCGAGTAAGAATTACAACCACTAATGATTGGTTGTTCATTTGTGAGAAGATTCAGCTGGATGGCAGCTGGCGAAGTGAGTGAATATAGATTCTTGAAAATAACCCCGATCACTATGGATCAAATTTTTAAAACTGGTGAGAAGAAGCATGCAGGTGACAGAACGTTTAGAAACCTGATTTCACGTTAACTGATAGGATCCCAAGACAAGCTCGACGCAATGAATAAGGTTCATTAGTAATACCACTCTTAATACTACTACTACTACTACTACTACTACTACTACTAATAATAATAATAATTAGCTTAACGTCGACTGCATTATAACTTCTCTTATCATTTTCATTTCATTGCTATTCTAATTTTTATCATTCGCTACACAACGAAAACCAGAGGTCTCTTTCACATAATTGTTGCAACCAAGATGTAACAAGTCCTCTGATTGATCAATACATGACTGCCCTGCCTCATTTTCACCTTGGTAGACAATTTAGAAACTTGATCTCTTTTGATGACTGAAGTAGTGAAAATGTTCCCAGCTGCTTTCTGACCAACAACGTAGAAACGTCAACGGACATGTATGTACCATTTGATTAAATATCACACATATATATATATGTGTGTGTGTGTGTGTGTGTGTGTAGTTTTAAGGGATGCTATATTTATGGGTTAAAGTGCTCAATGTCAGGGATAGAGCGTATGTGAATATAAAATGTATACACTGAAGTCAACACCTAGAGGCGACAGTGTGTTTTCTGCTAAACGTAATCGTCATGCCAGCTGGTCATATATATATATATATATATATATATATATATATATATATATATATATATATATATATATATATATAATACAGTGTAACCCGGATATAAGGGAGTTGTCGGGACCGGTGAAGAAGTCTCTTATATCCGGGTTTCTCTTATATCCGGGTTTGGTCTATTTTATATACATTAACACAGGCTCTAATTTGGGACCAGAGAAAATCTCTCTTATATCCGGGTTTCTCTTATATCCGGGTTACACTGTAGTTTATGTTATTTTAATTTTCTGTTTCTTTTGTTGTTCCCATATTTTGTACAATTGTAACGGTGTTCGCAACATAATGGTAATTACGACGTGATCGAACTGGTACAATTTACATATAATATTTATACAACTTACTTTGCACTCCACGGACCATTCCATTCAACACCTCCCCATGGATTTCTGCAACGGATCATCTGGATCTTTTCCCTTTTAAAATAACTTATTAGGTTCGTGCCGAGAGTGAGTTTTTTTACGGCAGTAATGCTGTACGCATGTCCCTTAACTAACCCGACAGTTGTTTTCATTTCCATATCGGCATCTGTCTTGGCCTGTTCAAAACAAAAAAAAAATCAATCGGTTACAATTATTATCTATTTACACTTAGTTTATTATCATCGCTGCTATATTTAAACTACACCTAAGCATTTACTTATAGTATCTACTCTTCCTAACAGAAAACCGAATAAGAAATGACATTTTCATCAAATAAGAACACAGAAAACACTTTTAAATAGCAAACACTATTTCGTAAACAAATGATAATTATCTTCAGTCTAATAAAAATCTGACGCTAAAATCCTGTTTTTTTTCTATATCTTTTAAAATTTTCTAATATATCTTTTATGTTATATAACATTATATAATATTTCTAATATCTGTTTTTAAATTTTCTATATCTTTTTCTAATCCTTTTCTTTTTTCAATCTTGTAGGGTTACTGAGTATTTATTTGGACGGCCTTGATTGTATGATGGGAGAGATGTGGAAGAAACTGTTACTTTCCCAATTTTATTTCCCCCATTATGAGCATTAGCAATTTATTTCATAAGTGATATTAAAATCTACTCATAGTTATATTCGTTCCAATTGGATTGTTATTTATACTGTGATGTTAATGTATTAATGTAATAATAATAATGGTTATATATCATAAATAATCACTATCAGTCGTTTAGTCTCAAGTAAGTGACATTCAGTCAGTCACACGTCCCACGTGTGATACACGCTTGAGCAGTCATGCTTTTTTCGATGTATGACAGGCTAGGCAGAAGATTTTTCTCGCAGTAGGTTGCCGTTACTTTCTATTGGGAGAGGGGGCAAGAGATGGATTTATATCCTTCCCAAGGGTATTTGCGGATAAATACATCTCTTCTTCCCCTAGCTACGAGTTGAATCGCGAGATAGATTGGGTCATTATTTACATTATTATATGGCCCTTTGGATAAAGACGTTGGTTAGATCCAGTGACTAGACCCAAAGAGTTATGAGTTCATTACTAGGTCACAGCAGTGGTGAGTTAAACTTGGAGAGTTAAGTTCAAGCGAAATAACTGAGACATCCAAAGTGGCATGGCACGTAGAACTAGAACAATCTACCCGTAAATCAAGGGTTCGGTTCGAAAATTTAATCACCTGAAGAAGTTTGGCGCGTACAACGGCTGACACGTTGTGAATATGGCAGTAAAGATGAGGATAACAGTCCCAATAATGTAAATAATCATAATACCTCATCTCAGAGATATAGACAGAGATTGTGTCATATAGTCATGGTTACCAACACGTCTACCCCAGAAAGAAACGGCATCCTACTACGGGAATATCTTCTGCCTAGTCAGTCATGAATCGAAAAAAGACATGATCGCCCAAGCGTGTATCACGTATGGCACGTACGGCTCAAATATCTCCTGACAGATGTTAAGAAAGGCTGATGTGGTGTGAGGACAAACAAATGGTAAATGTTAAACGTTAGGAATAAAAATGATATTTCTCTGACTCTACTGATTTTATCTAAAAAGATTTAAGAAGAGAATACGAAAAGACTTTTTGATGTAATGTAGATTATTTGAAATATGACAATATTGAAATAGTGAATACATTCAACAGTAGTAGAAGAAAATGAGTTTTCTACGGATGGATGGCTGGTCACTCGTATCTGAGGATGCCCGCCTTTTAGGGCTGCTAGCTAATCCCTGTTGCAGACGCCTGTTCAGGCGTTTGTGTTAGTTCAACACCTACAAATCTCACCTGTGATTTATACTGTAACTATGCTAAGTGGACCTTAGTTCCAGTTTATGGGAGAGAGCGTGTTATCTATCGTGAACAACAGTCTGAATAAACCCAGTACGGTCAAAACCTCGGTCACGATGACTTGTGACTTCGTGCTCGAACAAGCACCGATGTCTCCCCAAATAGTTTTGTCTACCCAATTTCACTCACAAGGCTTGAGTCAACCCGTTGTATGGTTTTCAAGCACTTTCCAAAGGTGCCACAAGCTTGGGTTGCCTCGTTCAGACCGACGTCACCTTATTGACAAATAGAGAATGGTGAGATTCGAACCTGGGTCTTATGGTTTCCTACAGGTACAGTTAAATATAGTAAGTTATTAATGAACTGATTCCTGTCTTTGTTGTTGAATAACGAATTTTATACGAAATATTTTACTTTATTTGTGTGTGTGTGAGTGAGAGAGAGAGAGAGAGAGAGAGAGAGAGAGAGAGAGAGAGAGACTGAATGTACAAATAAGTTAAAAAGAACGAGAAAAGACTGGTCTCCGATGAAGATCTAATGGCAACTCCAAGGTCGTAGGTGGTTGGTAAGTCTTTTACTTGTTTATATGTTAGTAATTAACAGAGAAATTTGAGAGATTTAGCAAGAGCTGTTTTTATTACCAACACCAGTTACAAAACAAGCAAGTTCAATCATGTATGATTATTTTTTTTCAAACTAGACGGACCGTTTAATTAAATGTGGAACATGTGTTTACAACAAGTCGTTGTAAACATAGTTGTCTGAATTGTTTAGGTAGTTTCCTTGTTCATTTTCACGAATTTTTACTTTTATCTTATTTTTGCTTTTTCATCGCAACCCTCAGTTTGCTTTACATTCTATAATTGTTTAGTTTGTAGCATGAATAAGAAATAACTTTCAACAAGAATTGAACTTGTATCCATCATCTGCGGTAGCTCCTATAGAAATTTAAATCTCATTAGAAGTTTGATTGTTTTTTTGTCCATGCTACTTGATTAAGAATCGTAGAATTTAAAATGACTAGCGATAGGACGAAGATAAATATGGAAACAGAAATCTAGTCTAAAATGCATAAGGGATTTGCTTCACGTAAAAACAACACAATCTTTTTATATTCTAAATACAAATCATCACCATCATTATCATCATCAGTACCATGATTGAATGTGATCGTAGTACCGCTGCGCAACTGAGAACCCGGCCAGTTGCCTACGTTGGAAGTCGGAAAACTATTCATTCGTGCGTATCTAGAGCCAGATCCAGGCCAAACTATAACCGATGTACGCCATCATAAAGGTTCACCTTGTTCACGGATACATAGCCATTGATTAACACCGGGAGACGGGATGTACACTCCGACCTAGCTCTTAACTGTCAGTCTTAGGAGTCCTCTGCCCATCAATGCCATGTCATCACCGCATTGGTTGCATATATCGCTATGGAATCTATCCGACCTCATTGTGCTAAAATCACATTTGATTCTACAAGAAAATACATCTGGTTTTTAATCCTATTGGATGTGAAACCACCATCGTCCTCATTAGAAAAAGGCTGGTGGGGGAACCAGTTTAATTGACAATAAGCCAACCATTCGTCAGGTCGTACGAGACTTAGCCGTACCAGTAACAACCGTTGAGTGACGTAACAAATACACATATCAAACAATAAAGATATCATTTTTTTAATATATTAAAATAATCATTATTTTGTAGAAGTTTCATTAGTTATACATTGGGAAATTGCTGGTTTAATACTACCGCTACTACTGAGTATTGAGTTCGATCCTCACTGGGTGTTCTATACAAAATTCGACTGTAAATTCCCAACAAGAGTTGATATGTCGTAAAATCAACCAAGAAATTGTCACTAGCATAGATTTATTTAAGAAATTATTTTTAGTCTAAATAGAGAGATTTTTTTTTTTAGATTTAATAAAAGATTTTCTGGAAATAAATCTTATGCTAGATATATTGATTAAACAGTTCTACATACCATATAAAAGTTTGTGAAAACAAACTAATTTTCCTCTCACCCGATAAATATAATTTTGTGGTGGGGATCTATAACAAAGTGGAAAAAGTTTTTGTGCGACGCGTTTCACCCATTAGCGCTTCATCGGATTAAAATAATATTTAAGAACCTAGATGTAAATTTATTTTGAATGAATTACCTTTGGACGAAAACTTTTCTCATTTTTTGTCATCGATGTTTTTATTTAACTTTGTTCTCAAATCAAACAAACACCGGTTACTGTTTACCGCGACACACGTTTGACATTTCCCGTTAAATTTGAATTTTGACATTCCGTTAGATCTCCGTGTTTAGTACTTAGCCAATCTTAGTCAACGTTTTATATATTTTTTTATTTTTATAATATTAAAATTATATTAGTAAGAATTGTGAGAGGTAACATGAACACAATAGAAAATGAGGATAGCCAAATTACTGGACTTTCAATAAGTTTTCGCCTGGGGATTATTTTTTTAAATCAATCCTCCCCAAGTAAGGCGATAATGTAAGGTGCTACTGTGAATAACAGAGAATAAGAAGACTTTAGAAGAAAGTGAAAACCGAATCCTAGACCAGAAAAAAGGGTTAAAAACTATATATATATATATATATATATATATATATATATATATATATATTGTTGACACCTCCTGACGAGTGGACTGAACGTTTACAAGAAAAGTTAGTCTACGAAACTCTAGAATCGTGGTGCTGAATATAACATTAATCAGGTAAGTAACAACATGTATATTATCTATCTCTCTCTAATATATATATATATATATATATATATATATATTATATATAAAGCTCTGCTCTGTATTGAGCCCTTTTTAAAAATTAAATGCCACAGTGGAAATATACTCCATTTGTTCTTATCCCATACCTGGGGATATATATATATATATATATATATATATATATATATATATATATATATATATATATAAAAATACCTGGCCACTCGTATTCGAGAATACCCGTCTCCTATGGTGGTTAGCCAATCCCTACTGCAGACTCTCACTCAGGCACATTTGTGTTTGCTCAACACTCACAGAGCCCACTTATGTTGAGCAGACCCTAGTTACAGTTTTCTGGGAGAGAGCGTGTTATCTAGCATGATCAACAATTTGAAGCAAGACCAGCACACTCAACCCATCGGTCACGATGACTTGTGACTTCGTGCTAGCACAGCTATCGACGGCCCTCAAGAGTTCCGTCTACCCAATTACACTCACAAGGTTTGGATCAACCCGTAGTATAGTTTTCAGGCACTTTCCAAAGGTGTCGCACTCTGGGGTCGACCTTGATCCATTCCGATAACATAAGGTCTCCTTCCTGTCAAATCGACCATGGTGAGATTTGATCCTCGCTCTCATGGTCAGAAAGCGAACGTTCTAACCACTCGTGTGTGTGTGTGTGTGTGTGTGTGTGTGTGTGTGTGTGTGTGAGAGAGAGAGAGAGAGAGAGAGATTATTAAATATATGATACTTATGACAACAAATTAAATTAGAAATCTCAATCATCAAAGGGAAATAACTCTTGAAATTTCAATTGATAATTTCAGAAGTTCAGTCCCTTACAACAGGAGATATTTTTGTTATTAAGTACTTATTTTTTTTTTATCTTGACATTAACTTTATATTATTCTACGGTTTTCTGCTATTTTTCAGGTATCTTTATTATTTCATTTATCCATAATTTTTATCTTTCTGACTAAAGACCTACTCTTGGCGACATATTCAATGATCATTAAGAGAATTCTGGAAAGATGTGAATAAATTGAGATGCGTGATTTGAAGGAAAATGAGTGAAAATCTCTCCTCCAAGCTAGAACAATTTTTCCTAGTCTCCAGAAATTCTAGCGTTAAGGGAATAATAAAAACTTTTGCTTCAGCATTTCCAGACGTTTTTCGCGTACAATCTTATTGTATTGAGTTCACTTTTCATCCTACGTCACAATTTGTTTTAAAATACAATATTTTAGCTGCGTTTACGTTCGGAATTATAAATGGAAATACAGCTCATTAGTCGAATGTTTCATGTGGATATTTTGTGAACATTTGGAAATACGGTTCAGTATTTTTGTTTTGTTTATGTGGAAGCCACACATTAAAGCGATTATCATAACCAAATAGGTGGAAATAATTTCGAATATTTCATTTGGATATTTTCTGAACTCTCCTTTACAACGTTTCTTATTCTCATGTTATAAATTACTTGACTGATATAATCTTCATTTCTTCGACTAGACCTTAGTTTGAACCGATTCTTTAAAGAAAGGATAAAGCAAATGTTGCTTATTTTATATCTTTTTCAATGTCGGATTAATTGACAAAAAATAATCTCAACAGAAATATACTAGTCGTGAAAATATGTTAAAACTGCACGCTGATATTAAACCTGACTGAAACAAAGATTTTGAATGAGACTAACTTGTTAAAAAAACAAGTTAGTCTCATATATTTTTCCATTTGGTTTCATGAAAAATTTGAGTGCTATAATTGGGATATTTTAAATTCATTAATTATTTTTGTCCCTAATTAGCGAGGAGTTAAGTGTGATATAATGGTTAGGATTTATTAGAGAAATACGTCAAATCTTTCATTCGATCCATTTATTCATACGACTATTTAAAACAACAGAAATTAGAAAAATACCAAATTTAAATATCGTTAATTTAAAGAAAATCAGACATAAATATCGAAAAGACACTAAATCTCATGGAATTTGACAAATTTATCACGACTTCTACTAAAAATTTAAAAAAAAATAAATTCATAAATTAGGGAGGTGCTGTTCGTAGACAAATCTCAAGTATCCAAATAAATCACTAATTCTCAACTAGATGCGCTCGGACAACGCGTAGAAAAAAGTTTAATAAAATATACATTCCATAAGTAAATCATAAAGTCTGATCTTTCACAACGTTTCCAGCACTTACCATAATGGAAGCGCTAATCAAGGCCTTGTTTTCATAGGCGTCGTATAAAATATCAAAAAGTTTTTGGCGACTTTCTGTCGTATCATACTGATTAAGACTGATGCTTTCACCCACGCCTCCTGTCATATCCACCATTGCATCCCGGGCCTTGCCACCGGTTAAGGCTTCGTAGGATCCGAACAATCTGAAACAAATAAACAAGAAATAAATATAATCGCATATAATCTTTATTATCTACTTAGCAGTGTACACAGAAAATTATTTAGGTAAATAATAAAATGTATTACTTAGCATATGCCTTCTCTAGTAAAGCACTCCAGAATTCATTCCTCGTCTTGGAGTGCGTGAACATCAATTGTCTATTTCTTGTAGGCAGAAAATCATCGATAACCACATCCACCCACTCACCGAGTTTCCAGAACTTAAAATGAAAAATACCAGCATATTTATTTTCTGGCTTCCACTCTTGGTTTCCGTGATCTGGAACTACCTAAGCAAAAGAAAAAAATATTAATAATAAAAAATATTTCATTTTTTTTATATTTAATATCATACATCATGTTATGTACAAAGCAAAATGGTGATGGTGAGTGGGGATAACTAAAAGAGCCTACCCAGAAAATCAGCATTCAAAATACCGACTTCTACGTCTGCTCAAAGATAAGCTGATATATATGTTTTGTGATGTCAAGCAACACTTGCTTGACACTTGTGATTGTCACTTTTGTAATGCTCGTTGTAGTAGAGACTTTGTAAAGCAGGAATCGAACCTGTATTCTATATAGAAAGGATTCCTGTAGGAGGACACCTATTTTCTATGAAATTTCCTGGACATTCAGGCCGATAAATGTAATTAATACTGTTTATTATAAAAGCAGACCATTTACTTAAATATTTGTATCTATAAAAATAATGCATAAACAGAATATATATATATATATATATATATATATATATATATATATATATATATATATATATATATATATATAGAGAGAGAGAGAGAGAGATTTGGACATATTAGAATATTCATATTTATTTGTATCTGACTCCCCTCCTTAAAACGTCTGTGTTAAATTTTAATCGCCACCTTCACCTTTAGACCTTCCTGTTCTTCTCTCGTCTGTTACCCCTCCCTATAGCTTTCATTTACTCTCGCATTCGTCCCACTCTCTCATACATACTCTCTCACTAAATTTTATTTTTTATCCCCGGAGTTATTTTTTACGATTTCTTTTTGAATTTGTAGGTCTGATGAATTGGATCGTAATTCCAATTCCAATATAATAAATTATAACCATGGAGTACTAGTGTTTAAGATTTTATATATATATAATATATATATATATATATGCACACCGCAATTAAAACTAACCCATTTGTATGGTGTTCAGCTGTTTGTGAGAACCGTCGGCTTAAAAGACTTATGGTGGAAATTAAAGAGCGTGAAATTGAAATATAATTTAAAAATCAATTTATATTTAAAAGGAATTAAATAGAAACACGCAAGACAAACTTATTTTTTTACTTCGAAAGTGAAAAAAAAAAAACAAACAAAAAAAAAAAAACCCCAAAAAACGATGTTGTGATTCTCATACTGTAAAGCTGTGACTTCTTTTGCAAGAATGAAATCTCAGAGAAAAAGATGTTATGAAAGAAAAATCATAAGATACACTTTGTTAGGTCACAAAGAATCATGACTCCAGCTTGTGAAAAGGAAAGAAATAAAAATAAGTAATATTCAAATGAAATGGTATTTTAATCAATTTAATCTATTAATGCTCACGGTAAAATCTCGTCTTAGTTATAGGTTCATAAAAATCCAGAATTAATTATACGTTTCTGCCTGTAACCTATTAATGTCCATCGTCTGAAAAATAGAATGGTAAACAGTAGCGGATATAGGTATCTTAAAAAAAATAAGCCTTTATATTTTTTTCTATTACTAGCATTTACTTTAGTAGACTGAAGCTGTTACATTACTTAAATTAAAAATATTACTTATTTCCTCCATTTTTACGGAGTGACTGATATTTTTTTAAAAAAATGTAACTTTTTAAAAAAAAAAAAAAGTAACTATTTTTTTTCTGGGAAACATAAAATTAAGCAGCTTTTGATAATGAGATTTCTAAAAGTCTTTTGTTCTCAGTGAACAAAGAAAGAAAAGGAGGCCTTAATAAAATTCTGCTTTACGAGCAGCAATTATTTTTATTCCATTCATTGTTTTATATGAGAATTTAGTCGAGGCTGAAACTGTGTGGTCAAGTTTATTAATGCAGAACGTGTATTCTTGAAAAGAAAAAAAAAACACAAAAAACAAAAAAACTAACATGCAATTTCGAGGTTAATACGTTCAGACTATTTATACTGAGCAATGGAATAGATACATGACATTCATTTTAAATGTCGTCAGTACCATTAAAAAGTTATTCAAATAATCAAATTATGGAAGCTGAAAAAATGAGATTATATTGCGAATGTTATTTTCTGATCCCTTATATTTGATATTTTTTTTATTAACTCATGATGATCAATTAATAAAAAAAATAAATAAAAAAATCAGTGATAATTGTCAACTATATTAAAGTTTCGAACGTTTTCTACCAATAGATATATAGAAAAAATATAGGATACATGTAGGACAAATATAGAACACATGTAGGACAAATATAGGACAAATATAGAACACATGTAGGACAAATATAGAAAAAATGTAGGACAAATATAGTGCGAGATACACATAAGGGAGGTTGTGAAAGGTCAAAGTAATGATAATGTCTAAGTTTATCTCTCCGTTTGCATAAAAGGAAAAATTAAAAAAAAAAGAAGAAAGAAATTAAGAGTATTATTTAAGATTTCATATATATGTCGGGAAAGAGTGATCAAGGTAGTGTGTTTTCAGATATAAACAATGCTGAGCGAAGTGGTTACAGGTGCCAATAATTAAATCACCGTGCCGAGTTCAAATGCTGGGTGATTCTGTTTCACATGCTTCACACTAAAAGTGATTCATTTTCCCCCGGGTATGGATTAAATAGATGGACAGACTGGGCTTTCTTGCCCGATTGGTATTCAGGCCAGCAGGAAGAATGAATTTAAACCACAGCCAATTTGTTTATATACTGTGTGGCACACTGTGCACCGTTTCCCTATTTCAGTTCTTCCGAAAAGTATGGTTGCTTCTACACAATCGAATCATCTTTGTATGTTGTTTGGCGCTTAGATTATAAAGCTGAATTATTAGGCTATTTATATATATTATAATATATGAAAAGATCACTTTACTTTTAAATATCAATTTCTGACGATATTCTCAATTTTTGAAATTGGAAATATCGTTTAAAACCAGGACCCCCTGAAGACCGGAAATTTTACCAAGAAACTTCGAGGTCGGAAAAAATTGCTCTATTTTTAATATTATTTTAATATTTTTAATATTAAGAGGTAAAACACCGTATCCTACCGCACTATCTTCTTTTTTTATATTCGCTTGCTCTGCATGTCTGTTTTTCCAAGATACTGCATTGAGCACTTTTTATACGTCCGTTTATTTTGGCACAGTAATTTTTCCAGCCTTTTCACTTATATTTTTATCTTATATATATATATATATACACCACAGGAATCCATGGTGTCGGTACAACCAACAGAAAGCCCGGCAGATAGCCCATATATATGTGTGTGTGTGTATGCCGGGCGTAACAGCAACATTGTCCAACTGTTAAATTAACATTTGAACCGTTGTATCTTAGAAATGATGAGAGATATCTTACTGGAATTCTCCGAGGTTTTTCTAACACTATTGGACTCTAGTTTGAGCAATAACAATGTATAATTACACTCTAAGCGTAACAGAAAAATTATGATGAAATCGATCCTAAACGAAAATTACATGTTCATCATTAGTTAATCATAGCTAAGGATCGGAAGCTTATGAAGGATTAAAATAAAGTTCAAATATAAATATATATATATATATATATATATATATATATATATATATATATATATATATAATTCCATGATAATTTTTTTTCAGCTTATTCAAGATGATCTTTCTCTCTCAAATCTAACTTTCTGTCCTGGGGTAGCAAGATGCTTCAAAGGTAAAACTTGAAAATCAAACTTGAAAAAAACTTAAAAATGAAATCGTACTTCACGTACGATTTCATTTTCAAGTTTTTTTTCACTGCTCTTTGGGCTGTCATAGACGAAACTTCTCTCTCACGTGCCAAACGTCTTATGTATTGAGTTGGATCTTTTCTAATTGATCTCTTTAGCTCTAAGGTGAAATGATCATCCCTCTTGCTGATGCAACCTCCTGATCCAGATTTCCTCTCCACTGTTCTCCACTGTTTTTTAAACTTAACACCGCTCTCTTGATGGTTCTTGAATGGACTTTCATGATTGAAGCCAGAGTATAAATGTTGGTAACATTGCTGAAGGCCTGAATGATCTTTTTCCTCTCACCATTGTTCAGCAGGGAAGACAGTGGAGCTGACACAAAACGATTTTATCCTGTTCTCCTTCTAGATGAATAACTCAAAGTGTTTTTCAGTGAATTTTACAACAAATGGTGTCAAGATGGCTAAACGTCTTATCTGAAAACCTGGAAAAAAGTAACTCAAATAGTTTAGTGTTTTTTTAGATGTTAAACATTTTGTGGGATGGACAATGTCGCTGTTACATTCGGTATATATAAAGTGAACATAGAAGTCAACACTTAGAGACGATAGTCTGTTTCATGCTAGACGCAATCGTCAGGCCACGAGTGTATATATATATATATATATATATATATATATATATATATATATATATATATATATGCACATTTCACTGAATATGACAGACAAGGTGCTTTGATTTAATTTTTTATACAATTTCTCATGCAATCTAATAATTTTTTTTTCAGATAATAAATTATATAAACTGTCCGAATGTTCTTTTATTCCGAGCGCTTTTGGCTATACATTTAGCTATTTTCAAGGATGATATATTTTAACTCTTAAATAAGAAATAAGTTGCATGTATGTATTTATATAATGTTTTCATTTTTCAAAACACGGTCATGATGTTGTGTCCATGTTAATAGTTGATAGTATTAAGCGTTGGTTTTTTTGCTTTTATTAATAAGGCTTCCATTATTTTTAGCCTTTTTTGCATGTAAAAGAACATTCGGACAGTTTTTAATATAATTTATGATCTAAAATTATTAGATCGCATGAGAAATTGTATAAAAACTAAATCAAAGCAGCTTGTCCGTCGTATTCAATGAAATGTGAATGAAACAAGGATCGTTGCCTAAATGCACACACACACACACACACACACACACACACACACACACACACACACACACACACACATATATATATATATATATATATATATATATATATATCTTTTAAGCGTTTCACCCCAAGCAAGGCGAGAAGCCACTAGGACGCAAGAGGTTACAGAAAATTTGGAGCAAGATCAGATAGGAGTGATAGAAGAAAGGAGAAGGAGAAGGGTAGTGGATCGATCAAGGCAACTGGAGATGTCGATTGACATTACATGAATAGCTGGAGGTTACAGCTCTCAGGAAAACTGGAATAGGGAAGGGAGTTCCACAGGCGAGAGGTGCGAGGCATGAAGCTATTGGAGTAGAAGAGACGGCTACATTAAGGAGTTTCGATAGTGAAAGGGTGAGAGCGGGATGCCAGCCTCGTCGGGCGCTTGAACTCATGAAGTCTGGGAACCAGCGAATGCAGCTTCTCGAAGCAATTACCATGAAAGTATTTGTAAAAACGACAGAGAGAGGCGACGGCGCGTCTGTGAGAGAGTGACTGTAGACGAGATGCCAGAACAGGGCCAATTATATTGCATATCCGCCTCTGGAGCCTATCAAGAACCCCGGGGCTCCAGACCATATATGGCAGCAATACTCCATGCAAGGGCGAATTGTTGATTTGTTGATCTAGAGGATAGATTCCGGGGAATAAATTTCCTGGCGCGGCACAGGGAGCCAACTTACCTTGCGGTGGATGCGGGCCTAACAGTTCAACTCAGCTAACACCAAAATGAGCCGTATTAATCATGCTTTTTCTTGATTGGATCAGGGTACATATACCTTTTTATTATACACTTGAACAGGGGTTGTCGAACTATGACTAGCGGTCAACCTGATAATTTTTTGAGGCCCGAAACAATACAACAAATTTTTTTTTTTTTTTAATGTCGATTGAAAAAAAATATTGAAAACATTTTTTTATTCCGTGTTGCACAAGAGAGAAATCTGTTCAAAAGAGAAACGAAGAGAAGAGACGCAAACCAGATTTATTTAATAACGAACCCGATTTCTGAGAAAACAACAAAATCAACATATCGCATTATGTACTGCCATAGAAAATCCGGATCGTTACATCGCACCCTGTGCAGATTTCAATGACCAATCCTGGGCATAGTTTAAATTGACCTAGGTATCTAGGGCTTTGTCTTTATTCCGACTCGACATATGGATATCGTTTCTATAAACGTCTCATGAGATTTATCGAAATTTCATATTACTGCAGTATTTTTAACAGCTGCACAAATCACGTTAATAATAAAAAATTGTATTAAAAATTAAACTAATATCTCATATACTTGTGTCCACTGTTCACAAAATTTGTCTAATAAGCAAATAAATGTGAAAATAACATGCGTAGGTATCGATTGTTATTTAAGTTGTCGTTGTGATTCTTGTGTTGTTATTATGATGCTGCCCATTTGATACAGCGACGACAATGGGTCTGCCCCTCCATAAAATGTGTCATGGTTTCGTGGAGACTGAAAACGTTACCGATTAAAATGAACATAAAATGCTTACCTTTACCCAAAGCCGTGAATCTTCGGAGATGGACGCGCATGCAGCAACGAACCAACAATTACCCAGCATTCCCTGAGAGAAATCATCTGCACTAACGCCATCGAGAAACAACTTCGGATTATCAACTATTTCCTGGAAGAAAAAAAAGAAAAAAAAATATATTGCCGTTTAAGGGACAAAAACCTCTGAGATATTACAAATATGGTTTATTTAAAATTTTATATAACTGGTTTCGCAAAAAGTACGCACACACAGGCAAATATATATATATATATATATATATATATATATATATATATATATATATATATATACAGTAAAGGTAATAAATCCGTTGGTATATAATCCAAGTGGATCCTGGTAATATAAAATATTAAAACTGATCTCAATGTATTTATTATAACAGAGCAAATAATTATTACATAATAAAATCCAAAATTACCTCATATGGGGAATAGGTTTATTTCAACCGACGAGATTCATCAGTCTTATTCATCTCCAGTATAGACTGAGTTCATGTGAGAATTAGAAATTTAATTGTGACACCTACAAAAAAAACAAAAAAAACGTCGAAAAACTTAGACAGAATTTATCCATTTAGATGTTTCAGTCACACATTGAAATTGATAAATTCTGTTTTAGTTTTTCGAGGTTTTTTTTTTAGATGTCACATTTAAATTTTTAATTCCGATACAACCTCAGTCTATACTGGGGTTGAATAAGACTGACGAATGTCGTCGGTTGAAATAAGCCTATTCTCTATAGGAGGTGATTTTGGATTGTATTGTGTACTCTGTCTGTCTCTCTCTCTCTCTCTATATATATATATATGATAAAAATATATTTTTAAGGTATGCTATATTTATTTGTTAAAGTGCTCAATATCAGTGATAGAACGTATGTAAATATAAAATTAGACATTCAGGTCAATACTCAGCGGTGACAGTCCGTTTCATGTTTAAACGCAATCGTCAGGCCATGTGCGTTGTATTTTGGTTCGATTATTTATATATGCTGATTTACTTTTAAACTGGTTGCCCTAGGAGAGTTTAGGAGAGCCCAGTCCACACTTCTATTTTAACCATAACTGAGTCTGACTAGAAAAGATATATTCATGCATATCCCCAATGTCGTGAATAAAACAAGTGAATAAATCAGACTTAGTCAGATATTTGTGGGCCACCAGAAACCTATTTTCGGGACTGTAAATCGGATAAAAAATGGCGTGGTTTTGGACACGTTACAAGGCACCACAGATTGTCCAAGGTACCGTTGAAGCTGGACGTAGGAGAGGACGGTAACGCAAAACTGGTTGGACAATGTCAAAGATTGGACAGATATGGCTGTAACAGAATTGCTGATGGCTGCCGTTGATAGACCGTTGTGGAGATTTAGTGTGGCTTCTGCATTCGGATCCAACCCGCTTACGATTACAAAAGTCAAGGGGATGATGATGATAAGTCAGAATTTGAACCTAGCCTACTGATTCCATTTCTTCTCATTAACCATTATGCCACTTGCATATCCTCATACATGAATCCCAACAAATGAATCAATAAATAAACAAACAAAAAGGATGTTAACTGCACTTAAGCAGACATCTGATAAAATTTGTAAACTCTTCCAGGTTTGTGGTTTACCTCACTTTAGACAAAATGTAAAGAACTGTAAAAAGAAAAAAAACCGTTAATTTCTCAAGAAAACATATTTTATTTTGTTGATATTTTGTGTGTTTTTCAGAATTCATTAATCATCAGCTTTCGCTTTTCTTTTTTTTCTTTTATTTTCTGTGTAAATTCTTCTTCATTCTCTTTTCATTCTCCAACTTCCAGGCCGGACACGGCTAATTTATAACTTTACCAGTTGCAGACATTCTATAGAACAACGAATAAAAAGGCAAAGAAAAAAATGAACTAGAAGCAGCTGCAACAGCAGAAAGAATGACAAGGAATATGAAATGAAATCGAGGCTCCGGCTCTGACCATTTAACAGGTGCTATAATAACCTGCCATTTAACAATAAATATATGTTTACTTGATTTATCACAAGATTAAAATAGACAATATATATATATATATAGTCTTTGAGCAGAGTGCAGTCAGGGGCGACTTCGTCAAAGGACAGAGTCGCAACTAAGGAAAATTATACTGAGAGGTGCCGGCCCTGGGGAACAGTTGCCAGAGGCTGCGCCTTTTCATTGCACTAGAGAGAAGGATCGGTGCACGCAGCGAGGCCAGCGCAACCGACGGTTGCAGGGGCTCGGGGAATTTTTTTCCTTGCCCGGGTGTACGCGCTCGGGCTCCCCACATTAACCTGAGTTTGTGTCACAACCTGACCTCGTGGGGTGGGGGTGAGTAAATACAAATTACTATAGAGTTAGGACTTTTTAACCTCACAATTCGTAGGAGAATTGACCTCCAATTTCGCATTTATATAGATTTTATTCTTCGTGACGCAATTTGGAACAACAGATACTATTAATAATTGGGACGTAGAAAAGGAAGAGATGGTTTTTATCTCGATTACTGTTGTTCCTGTTTGATAGAATGGTTCCTTTTGAAGTTCGGTCTTTTAAACAACATCCACTTTGGCAAGAAATGGATTTTCGGATATCAAGTGGCAGCAAAACCGGAAATAGAGTATATCTGGTTGCTGGTCTATATTACCGATCATGCTAGTGAATCGGGAAAGAGTTCTGATTCAGAATTCATCAAAGCTTTTAGCTTGTCGGACACTCTGCTCCGGGCGGAAAGGAACTCAGACGAGACTATACCTTGCCTGGGGAGGTAGACAGCCACCCAACCCCGTGAATGCGGAATCTACAGTGAATTTTTGCCCGAGTGTACGCGCGCGGAAAGCCACATGTTAAAAACCCGACTTGTGGGGAGGACCTGGGTAAATACCGAGTTCTGACCCACACTAAAAATGTAAAATTGAAGATTTGATGTGTTTCATAAACAGTTGGATCTAACCTAATTTACAATACATTTTTAGCAACAATTTGCAGCTTTTCTATAATAAAACAAGAAACATTGCACGTATATATCAATATAATCTATCACTATTTCTATAGTAATATAATCTTTAGTAAATTTCTACGAGTTTCTTTTCTGTATTTTGTCTATATGATATATAATATAATCAAGTAAGATTTGATATACTTGTTAATTAAATCTTAGCCATGTTAAGGGTCAGTCGTTACCTGTCCTCCTAATCTCCATTCTCTTAATTTCTTGCCAATTTATCTTTCATTTATATCACACACACCATTCGTTATAACCATTTTAACAATAACCCTCTGCCTAGAGTGGCTCTCCTGTTTTATTTTGGGTGTAACTTAACCCTCTGAGCCCTGCATTCTTGAACAATTTTAACCCTTCTACCTGAGCTCCTGAGTCAACATTCGCAAAATGTAATGTTTCACGGTAGATATAAAAAATAGTTACAAGTGTTTACCCACCGTTCAATCGGTAGCTGCGCATTACGTCATTTTTTCTCCACCACAGTTCAACCGGTAGCTGAGCATTACGTCATTTTTCTCTACCACAGTTCAACCGGTAGCTGAGCATTACGTAATTTTTTTTCTCTACCACAGTTAAACCGGTAGCTGAGCATTACGTCATTTTTTTTTCTACCACAGTTCAACCGGTAGCTGAGCATTACGTAATTTTTTTCTCTACCACAGTTCAACCGGTAGCTGAGCATTACGTAATTTTTTTCTCTACCACAGTTCAACCGGTAGCTGAGCATTACGTAATTTTTTTCTCTACCACAGTTCAACCGGTAGCTGAGCATTACGTAATTTTTTTTCTACCACAGTTCAACCGGTAGCTGAGCATTACGTCATTTTTTTTTCTCTACCACAGTTCAACCGGTAGCTGAGCATTACGTAATTTTTTTTTTTCTACCACAGTTCAACCGGTAGCTGAGCATTACGTCATTTTTCTCTACCACAGTTCAACCGGTAGCTGAGCATTACGTAATTTTTTTTCTCTACCACAGTTCAACCGGTAGCTGAGCATTACGTCATTTTTCTCCACCACAGTTCAACCGGTAGCTGAGCATTACGTCATTTTTCTCTACCACAGTTCAACCGGTAGCTGAGCATTACGTCATTTTTTTTCTCTACCACAGTTCAACCGGTAGCTGAGCATTACGTCATTTTTTTTCTCTACCACAGTTCAACCGGTAGCTGAGCATTACGTCATTTTTTCTCCACCACAGTTCAACCGGTAGCTGAGCATTACGTCATTTTTTCTCTACTACTGATCAACCGGTGGCTGGGCATTACGTCATTTTTCTCTACCACAGTTCAACCGGTAGCTGAGCATTACGTAATTTTTTTCTCTACCACAGTTCAACCGGTAGCTGAGCATTACGTCATTTTTTTCTCTACCACAGTTCAACCGGTAGCTGAGCATTACGTCATTTTTTTCTCTACCACAGTTCAACCGGTAGCTGAGCATTACGTAATTTTTTTTCTCTACCACAGTTCAACCGGTAGCTGAGCATTACGTCATTTTTTTTCTCTACCACAGTTCAACCGGTAGCTGAGCATTACGTAATTTTTTTTCTCTACCACAGTTCAACCGGTAGCTGAGCATTACGTCATTTTTCTCTACCACAGTTCAACCGGTAGCTGAGCATTACGTAATTTTTTTCTCTACCACAGTTCAACCGGTAGCTGAGCATTACGTCATTTTTCTCCACCACAGTTCAACCGGTAGCTGAGCATTACGTCATTTTTCTCTACCACAGTTCAACCGGTAGCTGAGCATTACGTAATTTTTTTTTTTCTACCACAGTTCAACCGGTAGCTGAGCATTACGTCATTTTTTTCTCTACCACAGTTCAACCGGTAGCTGAGCATTACGTCATTTTTTCTCCACCACAGTTCAACCGGTAGCTGAGCATTACGTCATTTTTTTTCTCTACTACTGATCAACCGGTGGCTGGGCATTACGTCATTTTCTCCAACATTGTTCAACCGATAGCTGAGCATTACGTCATTTTTTCTCTACTACTGATCAACCGGTGGCTGGGCATTACGTCATTTTTCTCCAACATTGTTCAACCGGTAGCTGAGCATTACGTCATTTTTTCTCTACTACTGATCAACCGGTGGCTGGGCA